GTTCTTCGTCGCCTGCCTGCCCCCCACCCCCCCTCTCGCCCCCTCCCTGGGCGGCGCGGCCTGCCCGGGGCCCGACGTCGCGAAGCAGCGCGGGGCCATCTGCGCAATTGTTTTTGGGCAGTGCACTGACAGATGGCGCGGCGTGCGAGAGTGGCACTTCCCGTAGTTGGCATAGTTGTCGCCATTGCGCGCTGCGCCGTGCGGCGCTGCGGGCACCGCGGCCGCGCCGTGAAAGCATTGGCGCTCGCCTGGGAGCTCGACGCGCGGAGTTGGCCGAACTCGCCCAAGCTCGGCGCGAAACTCAGCGCAGCGGGCAGCGCGGCGAGCGCGGGCGGCAAGACTGACACGCGGCAAGTGTCTGCACTCACCCCCTCCCCCACATCGCATCAATCCTTCCAACAACTCCTTCGGCGCGGCACCCCGCGGGCCTTGCGCGAGCAACTGCGCGCATGGAGCGCAGGCTCCGAGCGGGGCAGTCGACGGCGGGTGGAACTGCAGCACGCACTGCAGCCGCGATAAGCACGCCATAAGCCGAGGCGGGATTTCGCCCCAGGCGCGGGCCTCGCCATCGGGCCCGATCATCACACCAGAGTACTTCGCGAACCGCGCGATGACCAAATCGCCGAAGGCTGGTCGGGGAGGGCCCGCGAGGTTCTGAGTTGCTTCCGCCGCTTTAATACAAACAAACACGCAAGTGTACGCTCAGCTCAAGCCCAACAGGGCCCCCCTGGGCAGCCAACCAGCCCAGGATCGGGCCAGGCCCCAGGAAGTCATTTGGCAGGAAAACAATCGGGTCGTCACGGTAGGCAAGCAGTCGGTCCATGTGCTGACCGTCGCGATGCAGCAATCATCTCAGGATCGAGTCAGCGGCCAACGCAAACAGGCACATGCTAGCATGGTCGCCCTGACGCCCCCCCCCCCCCCCCTCCCGCGATGGCAATCGCGATGCCCAGAATCCCCCTCCCCAACATAATCGTCGCACTGTTGTCCTTATGGAGAGCAGCAAATAAGGCGCCGCTTGCACCGCGCGCCCACATCTGCACCGGCACTGCAAGGATCCACCCAACGTAAATCGAGGGGAAAGCCGCCGCACAATCAGCCAACAGCTGTAGAGTATGCGGTGCACCATCCAGATACTGATGCACCCCCCACGCATCGGCGATCGCAATGTGACATGAGATCCTCGGCACCAGCGCAGACCGCGCCGTCAGCAATGCGGACGCCGCTCAACAACGCGCGCCAGCGAAACTGTTGCCGGCATAATTTACTGCGCCTAAGCTTTGCTTCGCACCCCCTCCCCCCCCCCCCCCCTCCCGAGCGCAGCTGGCCCCGGGCTGCCATCTCTCGTTCCTGCTGCTCAGCGCGCTGTCGCCGCAGCCAGCCAGCCAGCGAGCGCAAGCGCATGCTGCGCACGTGCCGCGCGTCCCACGTCAGAGCACCCCCCCAGGTCAGCGAGCGCAGCATAGGCAAGCGCGCACGCGTGGAACTGGCCGCGCCTCGCCCCGCGAATCACGCGCATCGCCCGGCAGTGCTGTTCGAGAAGGCCTCTCGCAGGCCTGGGACGAATGGCGAGCAGAATCCCAGGGGCCGCGGCCTTTCTGCGTTCTTTGGCCAGTTGCGCGCGCTCCGCGGCATCGATCGGCGAGGCCCCCTGAAAAATCTGTCTCGCGCGCGCTCGATGTTCAGGCGACCGACGCGGCCGCGCCGGTAGACTACGCTGGTTTTTGGCGCCAAATTTCTCGATGGTAAGGGAGCGCGGCCTGCGATCACGGGGGCATTCTCAAGGGGCCCATATGGCGCAGCTGTGACCGCGTAGCCAACTAGCAGAGCCCTCGGGCCATTGCCGCATATCCTGCCCAAGCGCGAGGTGTGCCGCTCCGACGCCTCGGCAATCCAGCCGATGCGGGTCGGCTCGTACTGGATATGCTCTGGGCACTCGTCGCAGATGGCATTGAACTGATCGCGGCGCTGCCTGGCCCCCCCCCCCCCCCCCTCCATGTCTGACCGCCCCCCGTCGCGCGCCCCTCCCCCCGCGGCGCGAAGTTCCAGCCCCCCCGCGGTAACATTCATAGAGCAAGGTTTGCAAGGTGGCGCCCTCGCTACCCCCCTCGAGGAGCGGCCGTGAATGGGGGGCCCCAAGCGGGCATTCGGCGCGCGGCAACTCGCGATTGCAAACCGCCCCCCCGGCCCAAACATTGGCGTAATCAGGGCGCGTCCTTCCGACGCAATGTCGCGGTCGATCGCGGCGAAATGCGCGCGAAGCCGCGAGCAGAACATCGCGGCCGATATTGCTGCATCGGTCGCTCCATGAGAGCTGGCACCGATGGCAGCGCCTCTAGGTTGGCAAAGCAGTGACTCGACATCACCTGCATGACCGCATCGTTCTTGAAGAGCGCACCACATCGCACCGTCGACAACGCAAGCGCGCATATTTACTTGCACAACTTGAATTACCCCCGCGAATCCTTCCAAAGAGCCCATTAGCGTTTCACGTGCAGACTGACGCAGCGAAGGGAGGACTGCGCGTAAACCCTCGAATCTCAAATGAAGCCTCAGGAGCCCCAACTGGGCGTGCCAAAGGAAGCAACATAAGCCCTACATTACGAATTCTGATATGTTTTCAGGCGTGCACGGGGTGATGTTAAGTGAAACAAACGCGGCGGCCCGGGGGGGCGCAGCAGAAAAAATCGGGCACGCTGTCAGGGCAGCAGCCAACAGGTTCAAAAGGGCGCAATGAGCGCCGCCCTCACCTCAGGCAGCGCTTGCTCGATCCCAAGCTCCACGAAGGCCTGCCCCTCGATGGTGTGCTCGACGCTGTCGCCGTCCAGCTTCAGCCGCGCGAGAGTGATCGGGCGCTCGCCCGAGCGCATCGCGGAGACCGCCCCGCCGAAACCGCTCGCGCCCGAGCTCGTAGCGCCCCGACAATGTCTCAGCGATCCCCTTCCGAATATTGCACATCGGGGCTCTTCTGACCCGGGTCAATCCGGACCCGGGTCAGCGGAAAACCAAAAACTGCAATGCAGGAAAAAAAACTGCAGCGCAAACCCGGGTCAGCCAATAGGCGCGGCCGCCCCGCGGCCACGAGCGGCTCGCTAACCCGGGTCAGCCAGAGGGGGTTTTCGCAGGATCCTGCAGAATCTGGCGCCCTGGCTGACCCCCGTCTGCATTGACCCCCGTCTCAAGGCTCCCGATCACACCACCGCGAACAGGCGCCGGCCTTGCACGCTAATGTCCCGCTTCAGTCTGCGGTCGCACGAGAACGATGGCGCGATTGGACTCGGGAAGCGAAAGGGCCCCTTGCCCTTGAACATCTGAAAGAACTGCACTTCGCGGGGTCCGAGAACTCAAATACTACTTTCCGTGACGTGTCAAATGGTTTGATCGCGATGCTGTCGTGCTCGCTCTCAGGCGCACAGGCCGCGCGCACCTGCTCAGCCGCGCGGCGGAGCGCCCTCCCCATGAGCTGCGCGTCGAAGCCGACTGGACTGAGACGACAAACTCCCTCCTGCTGGCAATGCCCGCTGCTGCCGTTGTCACGGCCTCCGTCGCGGCTGGGGCCCTTGGCCATCGCCGCCAAATTCTTCTCGATCTCCCTAACCTTTTCCTGCGCCACCGATGGGGCCCCGATCCAATCCGCAGCCATCGATGAAGTAGAGGACCGCGGGGAAGTCTCCATGGCGCTCAGGCGGTTGTCCATCTACGTCCGCATGGCCGCGAAGATCTCATCCGCGTCCTTCAACGACTTGCTGGCCATCGTGTTCAGGGGCTGGAATTGTTGTCGCAGCTGGCCAGCCATGAGACAGGGCGCTAGCACATCACCACGGAGCTGCTGCACCTCCCGAATGTGTGGTCATCTGGCACGAGATCTGTTTCTAAAGGGCTTTCGTGCTCGTCGCTTACCCTTCCTGAAAGCCGCCGCTGCGACTGCGTGGGGAACTGGGCGTCGCCGACGGGCCCCTGCGCCAGCGCGGATGGCTCACGTTCGGGCCCCGACCGTGTCGTGAAGAGGGGTGGGTTGAACTCTGCTGCGCTGCTTGCGACGATCTCCACGCTTGACCATCGCTGCGATCAGCCGAGGGCACGAGGGCACGCGTACACAAGACCGCGTAGATGTGGGTGAAACTGGGCACTGCGCTCAATCGCCTGGGCCCCCCCGTCGGCTGCAACCAAGGATCAAGACCCAGTGGTCAGATTTGAGCCTTGAACCGACATGGCCACGGAAACGCAGCTCTGGAGGTCTTGGGGGCCCCGGGCCCGAAAAGGCACAGAGACACTCCAAAACCTTCAAACGCCGACTCTCGGCGGTGGCGCCGCAATGACCAGACATCTGACGACGGTAATTGACGGCCGAAATTGGGCGGACTTTCTGGGGCGACGACTGCGTGCCCAAGAGCTCAGATAACTGCCTGTCAAACCTCGCGCTGGCCCACGTATGACCACACTGTGTCAAACAGAATTGTCCAACAGAGTGTCGGCTCGCCTCGTGCACGTTCTCGCGACGCGGTCCAGGTCAGAAGGTCGGCTGACGCATAACTACCGCCAGCGCGGCAGCGCGGGGCGCCGCGGCTCTTATTCGGACACCGGGGCGGGCCGACAAAGAAACGCGGGCCAGGCAAGGGGAAAACGCGGGCAGCGAGGGGCCGAGGAAGGAGAAGGGGAGGGGGGGGGGAGAGGACGACAAGGAAGGACAGACCGGGCCGACAGACGGACAGACGGGGAGGGGGAGCCGAGCAGGCAGGGAGAGAGAGAGAGAGAGAGAGAGAGAGAGAGAGAGAGAGAGAGAGAGAGAGAGAGAGAGAGAGAGAGAGAGAGAGAGAGAGCACACCACGCACAAAGGGCAAGGAAGGACAAGGGGAAGGAGGGGGCACGGAGAAGGAGAGGGGGAAGGAAGAGGGGGGGAAACCCGCGAGCCGAAGAAGACAGGAGAGGGAAGGAGAGAAGGGGAGATGGAGGCGCCGCGGGCCGGGGCCAAGGCAAGGAAGAAGGCGGGCCGAGAAGAACTACTCCTGCATGTGCAGGCTCGCCGCCTTGCCATCTCTGGCCTGAGCTTTGCGTGCGAGCGGCTGCAGAACTTGGATGCCCGAGGCCCCCCAGCCTCCGGAACGTTCGGCGACCATTGGCACGAAGGCGATCCCCTGCTGGGGGCACTGCGCCTCCGTGTCGAGGTAGGACCGCTTGTAGTCCTCGTAGAGCTGCGCTGCCGACCCGGCGACCTCGCTCGCCTGCTGGAAGGCAGCCTGCCGCTGCGGCGACGCGATGGCCAGGTCTACGGCGGCTGGGGGCCCGCCGCGCCAAGAGGGCAAGAACACGTCTGCCGTGCGACGCAAGCCCGGGTCGGCCGCGTCGCCCGGCCGCGGCGGGAGGAGGTGGCCCCTATCCAGGTCTGGCCGGCATCCCGCGGAAGCGGCGTGGAAGTGCGTCAAGTTCCCGGCCGCGTGGTGCGCCGCGCTCTTGCCCCCGCCGCAAGCGCAGACCGAGCAGTGGAAACCGTGCGCGTCTAGCACGCTGTCGCACAGGGGGCAGTAATCCTCCTGAGAGACCTCCGCGGCCAGACGGCACTGCACCTCGGTGCGGAATTCGGTTGGCCCCATGCTGAGCTTCATGGCCTTGCTGGGCATGGCCGTCAGGAAGCCGGAGGCGCCGGGCAAAGTCCCCGACAGCACTGCGGCCCGGACGGCGAGGCTGGCCCGCGCCAAGCGGTCGCGCAAGCTCGCCTAGTCTAGCGCGTCGGACAGCTCCCTTTGCGGAACCGGAGAGGTGCCCGCCAACTGGCGCGCCGCCTGCTCCGGCAGCGCTGCCTGCAACGTGGCGGCCGCGCGCTGGAGGCCGGAACCGGCGTCGTCTACGTCCCAGCGGCAATAGGCGTCGACCTGGGCGCAGAGGCCCCTCGCGGCGGCACGCGAAGCGAAGTGCGCAGCCGCCGAGTGTCGCAACGAGCTCCGGAAACCCAGCCCTGCGCGACGGAAGCCGAGCGTGGCCTGTAGCCACTCGTCCTCGGTCGGTTGGAAACCAAATATGTCGGCACAGGCATCGCGGATCGAGCTGTCGAAGGCGGCGAGGGGGGCCGCCGCTGCCGCAGGGTCGACGGCGCGCGCTGCGTACGCCATCTTGCAGAAGCTAGCGCACTGCCGCAAGAGCCGGTAGCCGACCTGCGGGTCACTTTGATGGGTGTGAAATTATAAGTAGTTATAGTATAGGTAAGTGGTTCTATGTTAGGAGAGGTTTGGACGAGTTAGGATTGGTTAGGAGGCCCAATAGGTTCCATAGGAATGCCGATAGTGTAGTCCCCGATAGTCCCCCCCGTGTTTCACTATAGGATCTATAGGAGCTTACAGCGTCCTATCATCAGCTGAACTTGGAATCCCTAAACATATGTATTTTTTCATATTTTTATCATGTTTCACTATTTTTCTATATTTTTACTATTTTTCACTATTTTCACTATCTATCACTATTTTCCACTATTTTTCACTATTTTTCATTATGTTTCACTATTGCTTTACTTTTTCTGTATTTTTCAAAATTCAGACATTGAAACAAGTCTGACCGACGACAGAATGTTGCGCTCCAAGGGAGAAGAAGGAGAAGGAGGAGGGAGGAGGAGGTGTTCACCTCCTCCTCCTCCTCCTCCTCCTCCTCCTCTGCCCCCTCCCCCCCTTCCTCCTCGGCGCCCCTCTTGGGGCCTCGGCGCCCCCTTGGTGCTGGCCCTCCTGGGCCTCGGCACCCCCAAATCCGAAGCTCCGAAGCTCCTCTCATTTCTCTTCCTCCTCCTCCTCTTCCTCCCCTTTCTCCTCCTCCTACCCCTCCTCCGCTATCCTCTTCCCCCTCCCCCTCCCCCTCCTCCTCCTCCCCCTCCTCCTTCTCCCCCTCCTACCTCTCCTCCTCTATCATCTTCCCCCCCTCCTCCCCCCCCTCCTCCCTCCCCCTCCTCCTCCCCCTCCTCCCCCCCCTCTTCCTCTTCCTCCCCCCCCCCTCCTCCTCTATCCCTTGCCGCTCCCCCCCCCCTCCCCCCCTCCCCCCCCCCCCCCCCCTCTGCCCCCGCCCTCTGCCCCCCCCCCCCCTCCTCCCCCCCCCATCCCCCTCCCCCCCTCCCCAGCGGCAGCAGCCTGGATGTTAGCTGGATGTTGTCTGGGTGTTGCTTGCGTGTTGTGTTTGTTGTTTTGTGTTGTTTTTTGTTGTTTTGTGTTGTTTTGTTCTGATGTTTTTTGTCGTTTCTGCGTTGTCTTGTAAGGCGGGCGCCAGACAACACCAGACAACGCAAAAACAATAGTAATAATAAAAAACATACAACAAACAACAACATGTTGTTTTTAATTGTGTCTGTGTTGCTTATGTGTTTTTTTGTTGTTTTTGTTGTTGTTTTTTTTGTGTTGTTCGTTGTTGTCTGGTGTTGTCTTCTCTTTTTTCTTCTTCCCTCTTCTGACTATTGCTACCCCCCCCCCGCCCTCCGCCACCTCCCTCATCCGTTTCCTCCTCCCTCCTCAGCGGGCCATCCGCTTTGCGTTCGCTTCCCTCCTGCCTCCCCATTCTGCTCCTCAGCGGCCCAACCGCTTTGCATGGGAGGAGGGAGAGGAGGAGGAGGAGGAGGAGGAGAGGAGAGGAGGAGGAGGAGGAGGAGGAGGAGGAGGAGGAGGAGGAGGAGGACAGGATAACGATTTCGTCGCAACCGTTTTTGGCTTCAAGTTTTTTGAATTCGCCCAACCGAATTCGAGAATTCGTTAAATGGCTGCCTGGGATCCTCGCTGCGCCACGTGCGGCGCCCTCGGCCCCGCAGCCAACATGGGCGTGATTAAAAACGAAAGTTCTGAAGCGGCCAAACCGCTGCATTGTACAACTTGCTATGTAAAAGCGGTCTGCCGCTGCGGAAAGTCAGGGGAGAAAGGAGGAGAAGCAAGCTGGTTTGTGATTTTTCTTAGAATTGGCTATTTTCTCATTTCCACTATTTGTTTCACTTTTTTTTTTTTTTGTTTTTTTTTTTTTTTTTTTTTTTTTTTTTTTTTTTTTTTTTTTTTTTTTTTTTTTTTTTTTTTTTTTTTTTTTTTTTTTAAAAAAAAAAAAAAAAATCACTATTTAACACGATTGTTTTCACTATTTTCATTATGTGATCCTATTTTTCTTACTTTTAAATGCATGCTGATAGGATCCTATACTGCACAATAGCTATATTTAGTGTTTTATAGTATCCCCACCCATCAAAACAGGTAGTTCGGACGCAGCTTGCGTGGCGACTCCGGCAGCAGCAGCCCGCCTGGCGAGCTCCGCGCTGCAGTGGCCCGCCGAACCAATCGGGGCCCCCAGGAGCTCGAAATCGCCAGACCAATTTACCCTGCTCTCGCCAGTCTCCTCGTCGCGCAGGAGCGCCGGCGGGAAGCGCGCCGCCGGCTCTGCTGACAGCGTCCCCGATGGGACGATCAGCTCGCTCTTGCCGAGGTGGAGGCGGAGGCCGATCCGGGGCCCGAGCGCCATGAGGACCCTCAGGGCCTCGGCCACAGCGGCGGCGCTGCCGCCGATAACGCCGTCGTCGAGGTAGAAGAGCGCCAGGCTGAGCCCCCCGGCCTCCCTTCTGCTCGCCAACTCGGCAGCGAGCTGGTGTAGGGCGAGAGCGAACAGCAGCGGGCCCAAGGGGTCGCCCTGCTGCACGCCGCTCTGGGAGGAGACCTGCCAGCGTCCGAACTGCAGCGTGCTGTGGTCGCCGTAGCACCAGTGACACCATCTGGACAGTGCGGGAAAATGCTGTCTGGTTTGTCGCAGTACCTCCGCCCGGCTCACGGTGTTGCACGCGTTGGCGAAGTCGAGTTTCAGCAGCACGTCGTCGGCGCGCTGCTTGTGCCTCTCGGCCCACTGGCGCACCGTGTGGACAGCGCACTCGCAGCCGAGAGGGCTCGCCACGCCTGTTTGCACTGGCCAGATGTACTCCTGGGCTCGGTCCTTCACCACCTGGGCGAGCGTCTTCGCCGTGAGGCGGCGCAACACCTCCCCGACGGCGATGGGCCAGACGTCCCCGCTCTTCTTTTCGGAAGCCAGCAGAGTCGCGCCGCCTAGCAACGGGGCTACCTGCCCAGGCGCCCGGCCGTCGGCCAGCATTTGCACCACTTCTGTCAGGAGCTCCGTCAAGGTAGAACCGTGCGCCCGTGTGAGGGCGTCGCGCAGGTGCTGCGCCCGGAGAGCTGACGGCCCGGCGCCGCTGCCTTCTGGGAACGACTTGAGGGCCTCGGCCACTTGGTCACTGGTCAGGCGGAGGGCCGGCGGTAGGCCGGCTGGCGGCCCAGGCGGGGGTGGCGGTTCAGTCGGGTGGAGCGCCTCCAGCTTGCGGCGGGCCTCTGCGGTCGGGTCCACCAGCGGCTCGGACATCAGAGCTGCCACAGCCTTCCTGTCCAGCCCTTCGCGGGCCAAGGCGTCTGCCCTCCGCTGCCTGGCTTCCGTCGAATTGTCAAGTTTCCACCTCTGCGGCTCGGCGAGGTCTGCCCAGAGTTCGGCGCGCTCGCCGTGCTCCCACCGAGCCAAGCGGTCGGCTGTGAAAGCGGCAACTGCCCGGGCGTGTGCTCGTCCGCGCCGCGGCGGGGCGGCGAGCAAGCACTTGGTGAGCATTTGCAGCTCCGTCCACGCTTCCACGGAGTTGGTGTGGACAACCTGCGCGAGGCACCGGGTCAGCGCCGGAGCCCATGCCCCACGGCACTCCTTGGGCACGTGCTTCAGCGTCGGCACCGCGCGGCTGCGGATCTCCGCCAGGGTGGGCATGCCTGGGGGTGCGGCCTGCGCAGGCGGTGCCCCTGGCGGCTGCGCCCGAGCCTGCTGTCGCTCGAGCGGGCGGCACGTCGGATGGATGCCGCCACGGAGGGTTGAGACGCAGAGCCCGCACACGCGGCAGTGCGTGCGACGGTTCGCCTGAAGCCACTCCTCCGGCACTTCACCGCGCAACTGTCCGGAGAGGTGCGCGTTGATGTGCGGGATCGCGGCGCCGGTTGTCGCCCATCCTCGGTGGCCCTGGCCAGGCCCGCACCCGCAGCCCTCCACCGGGCAGTGGACGCGACCGTCCCCGCGATCCCTGCGACCACTCCTGCTCCTCCTCCTCTCCCTCGCGCCGCGCTTCCTCGGCGTGCTCATGGGCACGTCCAGCGATAGAGCCTCAATTGGAGGCGGGGCCGCCACAGCGTTGGGCGGCTCTGGGTCTCCCGCCTGGCTCAGCGCTGGCCGGAGGTTCTGGCGGGGCGTGCGGGGGGACAGAGCAGAAGCGCACCCGCGACTGCGGCGCGAAGATCTGGGAGCACTCGAGGGGCCCTCCCCCGGGTAGCCCAGCGTGGCGTCGAAGTCCAAGAACCGCCACGAGGCTGCCCAGGTGCACGGAGACCAACACGAACCTGGGGCTGACGTACGCGATCCATGGAAGCGCTCTCGGGACGGCGGGCCGAGGAGCTGCTCTCGCGTCGTCTCGGTCGCGCCGCAACGCCTCCAGCACCGAGCGCACGTCCCGCGAGATCTCAGGCTGAAAACTGTGGGCCTAGAGCGCGCTGGCGTGCCACCCCCGGTGTGAGAAGAGGCACGTGGCCAGGTAGAACTGCCTCTGACCATATTTACGTTCAGGCTGCGCCTCCACCATGAAATGCGTGCGCCCATTCAGTCAAAACTCGTGCCTCCACGCCGCAAGGCGCCGGAGCTGACGACGCCGAGTGAGCGAACTGGAGCATGCGTTCGGCGGGGCTGCGTCCGCATGCAGCCGCCAGCCCCGCCTGCGCCCTCCCCGGGGCAGGTCGCTGGCAGCGAACGCCTGGATGCAGCTTGCGATGGCTACCCAGCATCGCAGCAGCCGCAGCAGAGGCGGCATGCGGGGGGAGAGAGAGGGGCGGGGGCCGGTGGCAGGAGAGGGAAGGGGCGCGGGGCCGGCGGCGAGGGGCCGGCTGACCCTCTCCCTTGTCCGGTTCGGGGACGCGCCAACCTGGGCCCGCGCCAACCAGGGCCGGCCAGGACCACGCCGCGAAGCCGGGCAGGCCACGGAGTAGCTCCCAAACCCCAGGACAGCGGAGGGTCGGATTCATGGTGGCTCCCAGGCCTGGGGCAGCCCGAGGATCTCGGAGGAGATGGGCTTAACGAGGCGAATGGCGACCCCAATCCCCGACTTTTGGTCCAACTTTCGACTGGACCTAAATCTGAGGCACGACTCGGTAGGGTGGGGGGGGCCATCCTCGATATGGGGCGCGCCCGAACAGACCCCTGGAGCGTTGTCCCCGAGCGTCTCTTCTCTCCCGAGCGACTTGCTCATTCGGGGGGGGGGGGCTCGGAGAACTGGGGGGGGCGAGAAGTCGCCAGCGATGGCTGAACTGGAGGCCTCCCAAATGGGTTCCGAGCAGATGGAATTGGAGGATCGCGCCGCATCGCCAATGCATCGCCGATGCATCGGCGATGCGTCGGCGGTGTCGGCGATGCATCGGAGACGTCGACGCAGAGAAAATCGGGCTCCATCGAGCCGCGTCGCCGATGCGGACACAATTGGAGAGGACTGGATTAGAACCGCTGGCGCCGGGGACCGTCAGTCGGCGGCGAGCCCCTGGGGGGAAGTGGGAGGGGACAGGCCTTCCCAGAAGGCGGCGGGGCTTCTCAGAGGCCCCCGCGCCTTCCGACAAGCTGCCTGTGCCTTCGGGGCAGGCTCAGACAGCTCCTCGGAAGGCCCGAGGCCCTACGAGCCTTCTGAGAACTCGCCCCCTCGGCACTCCCACCCTTCGAGGAGGGGATCGACTACAAAAAGTTGATGTGTAGCATACTTGACGAGCTCGTCGGATCTACGAACCCTGCGTTGAATGCACCGCAAATCTACACCCACTCGACGCATCTCTCGCTGATTAAGCGGACATTCCAATTTTGGGGAAAACTGCTTCTGTGGTCGACCCCCTACTTCGAACCCCGGGCTCGCCGCCGAGACCGTCGCGCCCTTGCCCCGAGCGGTGGCGCCTGCTGCCGGCCGGCCCGGCGAGCGCGCGGGGCAGGCGCCGCGGAGGCCGACGCAGCCGCGGGGGCCGCCGCACGCCGCCGCGGGCGCGCCTGGGCAGCTCGGGCGCGGCGGCGCGCCGCCCCGCCGGGCGGCGCTTCTTGCGCGCCGTCGCCTTCGACGTGGATCGAGGGGGACGCACAGAGGCATACTGGTACGAGGCGTCCTCCTTGGAATACCAGCGCGTCCGGCCCGAACAGATAGTATACCCATCTTGGAACGCATCGTTTCCCAAACGGTGTGCCCAGAAAGCGCCAGCCACGACGCATATACAGTCGGGGCGTTGACCTAAGGAACGGTAAATAAGAAACGAGGCCCTTTGTTTTCCAAAGGTTAAACTTAGATTTCTCATCGAAGACCGAATCACAACCTAAAGCAAACTGTGAAACAATTAAGGAACACCGAGCCCCTCCCCAACGAAACAGGGTTCCTTCTTCAGCGCCCCGACTGTACTGTAAGATTTCTCGGTGCGCGCCAGGGGGGGAAATCAGAGGGGGCGGGCCTCGCCAGGAAGCGGCGGGCCCTCTCCGAGGCCCTCGGCCCTCCTGCGAAGCCGCCCCTGTCCTCGGGGAGGGCCTAAGGCCGGAGGCCTTCCGAGCATTCTGACAAGGCCCGCCCCAGCTGACTTCTCCCTGGGGCTCGCCGCCGAAGTTCGACCACGGACCCCGTGCTGGGCATCCGCCATGGTATAGGCCGCCTTCGGCGCTCTTCTGACGGACGTCGGCGGTGTTCGGGAATCTTCGGCGCGACAGGGTCCATGTGACTCACTAGATCCTTCTTGGAGGTGCGCTCAGGGGGGTTCTTGGACGGGCTGGCCTTTTCGAATGAATTCGGGCATATTCGGACAAGTGTTGGGACGTGCAAAAAAAGGGTGGTATGAATCGATGATCGAGGATCGAGGTGTTGAAACTTCTGGGAGCGCCGTCCGCGCCGTGGCTGGACCCGCTTGGAAACTCTGCTGCATCCGCCTCAGAATTCTGGACCAGGGCGCAGCAACCCCCGCGAGGGTCTATGTCGAAGGGAGGCCTCGTACCTCCAGACGTCGAGAAGCGATCACGACGAGGATTCTTCGGCTTATCTGACATCCGGGGGCAGTCTCTGGGCAAATTGGGGAGCCACCCATCAGCAAAATGCATCGACACGGGGTTGAAATCAGATCGGGCTAGCAGGGATCGATATCGAATCAGATCGATCGGAGCAATGGGGGTCACGCGAACAGAGGTCCGGGAGTGGCAGCCCGCCTGGTCGGAGCCTACTGGCGGCCAAGGGCTGGATTCAGATCCCTGGGCGGTATGGGCTGCCAAACTAAGAAGAGAGGGAGCGAGGCTCGTAGATCGTCGTTGTCGTCGTCGTCGTCGTCGTCGTCGTCGTCGTCGTCGTCGTCGTCGTCGTCGTCCACCTCCTCCTCCTCCTCCTCCTCCTCCTTCTCCTTCCTCTCCCTTGCCCCGCCTCCTTCCTCTTCCATGCCCCTCCTCCTCCTCCTCCCTCCTCCTCCTCCTCCTCCTCCTCCCTCCTCCTCCTCCTCCCTCCTCCTCCTCCTCCTCCTCCTCCTCCTCCTCCTCCTCCTCCTCCCCTCCTCCTCCTCCTCCTCTCCTCTCGTTTCTCTTCCTTGCTCCTTCCAATACCTGCTTCTTCTGATTCGGCGCCACCTCCGCGTCCTGACACAGGAAACACGCTTCCGTGCGACGGGGGGAGCGGTAGATGCCCCTCGTCGTCGTCGTCCTCTGTGGCCGAGACCGCCATTGCAGGAAGTCTCTTGCCTCTCCCTCTCTGCAAGCTGGGTGGTTGTGGACCTTCGTTGGCCCCCGCGGTCCTCCTCCTGCTCCTCCTTCCCCCTGCCTTTCTTCCTTCCCTTCCTTCCTTCCTTCCTTCCTTCCTTCCATTCCCTCCTCCTCCTCATCCTCCTCCTCACCCTCCTCCTCCTCCTCCATATCTTCAAACCTTCCTTTGAACCCTCCTCCCTCCCTCCCTCCATCCATTCATTCCTTCCTTCCTTCCTTCCTTCCTGTCTGCCTTCCGTTTTTCCTCTTCCTCCGCCTCCTCTTCTTCCTCCTCCTCCTCCCTTCATCCTCCTCCTCCTCCTCCTCCGCTTCCTCCTCCTCCTCCTCCTCCTGGTCCTCCTCCTCCTCCTCTTCCTCCTTCTCTCCTTCATCCCTGCTCCTCCTCCACCTCCTCCACCTCCACCTCAGGCCCTACGGGGGATGGGCCAGAGCGAAGCGGATGCGAGTGCAATGGAGGGGTGGTATGGATGGTGGGGGAGATGGATGGGGTTTCGTTTTCTTATCGGCGTTTCGACATTGGGCGGAAGAGGGGGGAAGGGAGGGGGGGTCTGGCTCTGGACCTCTGCTGGACGCGGCTGTCTGCAACAGTGCGTCCTATGGGGGAGACCCCACCTGCTTGAAACAGGCGCCCAAACCAGCCAAGAGCTACTCCATGGAGGGGGGCGGGGGTGCAAGGGCCCGCGCCGATGAGCAAAACAATGGATGAGAAACCTATCGTTTGGAGGGGGGCATCGGGCAGCCACAGACCCCTCACGTCACTGACGTCGTGGCCCTGTGCCTCAAAACGTGAAGCCCCAGAGGTCTGGACCCCCTGACTACCTCCGGACAATGTTTGTGAAGCGCTTCGGACACACGAGTCTCAGGGTGTACCTCTACTTGTTCAGTGCTCGACCGCGTCCAACCTTGGAGGGGGGGAGGAGCCGTGCATCTACTCCACCAAGGGGACCGCCCTGGCGTCGCAAGGCATCGACATCCGACCAGAAATCAATAATTATGTACAGGCATCCGAAGCGATTCCAAAATGCATCAGGAGGCCATTCCTACGAATCCTCTCGCAAAGCCTTGTCGAGATTGAGTGGTCGCATCAATGCTGGGACAGGGGCGATAATGGGTAAGGGGGCTATATACGAACCCCGTATGCTTCTCCATCCCACGGCCGATTGAGGCCAAGCAGGCGAACGAGACCTGCTCCAACGCATTGCATTATTCAATCATAGACACCGGGACTAACGATTTACCATAACTAACGCTCACACCACGCTCCGACGGCGACCGAACCAGCCGCAACAGCCCACAAGAGCAAACGGTATGACGGACTCTGACAAGATCGACAAAACTTTGGGCCTCGTCCAGAGAGGCGAACTCGGCCACGCAGCCCGGGCGCTGTCTTCGAAAAGGTTGGCCCAAAGGAACACAGCTGCGTACGCCGAGCTCGCGGGCCCGAAGCTGGCCGGCGGTGCTATCCGAAGACCTCCCAGCTGACTTGGAGCAATTTGGGAATCCTCGCGCAGTGGGGCTGTACCAGGACCTTTCTGCGACGGTGCTGCGACAAGCAAGACGGGTGCTCGGAGGGGCAGCCGATCCGAACACTACAAGGTATGCTTGGGGTACGAGGTGGTTTTCAAAGCATTGCTTGATGTAGCCAACAGGGTCGCCAAGGCACAACTTCTCCTCTACTCATCAGGGATGTCATGCTCGTCTCGTCTCTTACCGCGGTCCTTAAACCCAATTCCCATGTGCGGGGTATCTCGTGTGGTGATACATCATTCCGGAGGCTCGTGGCCAAAACGCTTGCAAATCAATCCCATGCAGAGCTCAGGTCAGCAGTCTTGCCAAACAACTTTGGTATCCAAGACAGATGCACCTACCGCACAATTTATCGGACTCGGGCCCAGAGAAGATTATCTTAAGCATCGATGGGGTAGGATCTTTCGATCATATCTGCAGAACCAGCATGTTCGAAGGACTCATGGCCGACCCGTTGTTGGAAGGGCTCGTCCTTTTGTGAGGCACTGGTATGGCGTCCGATCCCACTTCAAATGGAAAAACGATGCACGGCAC